GATTAAAATAGGTACAGTTAGTAGGAAACAAAAAGACAAACACTAAAACAGTTTTCTTCCCCCATTTCCCAGTCTCAACTTCACTCTTTCACTGCAGGCCCCTCTACCCCCCTGCTTGCTAGCCCCAAGGAATGCAGAGTGTTGGGGGGTGGGAGGTGGGGAGTGGAGGGTTGGAGGTCAATCCAAAACAGTTTCTGCCACTCCTTCCCCTCATACTTTTCCCCTGCTCCAGCACAGGTCCTTTTCAGGGCTGTAGTCCTCTGGGAAAACTGCTTCAGTTGGAGTCCTCCATGGAACATGGTTCCTTCAGGAAATGTCCCTCTGCTCCAGTGCAGGGTCCTCCATGGGCTACAGCGTGGATATATTCTCTTCCCTGGAACTCTTCCTCATCATTCTCTTCTGGCCTTGGCATTCCCTCTGTTTCTCACTTTTTGTTCCCCCTCCTCTCTCCCTGGACTGTTTTTTGCTCTTAAATACATTTTCACAGAGGTTCCATGCATTTGGTGGATGGGCTCAGCTGTGTCCTGTGGTGGGTCTGTTTTGGAGCCTATCTGACACAGGACAGACCCTGGCTGCCTCCTGCAGAGGTCACTCCTGCAGCCCCCCACAACCAACACCTTGACACCTACACCCTGCACAAGAATTTAAAGACAGCAGTTGAATGTATTCAGACCTTTGCTAACATTATTCTGCTTCAGTTGTAGGGCTTCTTTTGTTTTGTTTTTTCACCTTGTTGTTTTAGTGACAAAACATGGCTCTGTAAAAGTCTCTTCTATAACTCTGGGCCTGAGCAAAAATAAATTACTCTGTCATCTGATAAATAGATGTAGGAGGAGAATGATGTTGATCTGTGTACTCTCGGGTTTCTTGAATAGATGCTTATGCTGCTCCGAAAAGGAAATAAATATTAGAAGATGATGAAGTTCAGAATATTTTCTCTGAGAGGTTAGAGGGGGAAATTATATTAAACTGGGCAGCCGTTTGTGTTTGTTCTATCTGGGAGGTTTTTAAAGCTCTTGTAAGTCTGTCCAGTGTCTGTAAAAGACCAGCTAGAAGAACTGAAAGGTGCAGCGTCAAGTTTGTCCTTTGTATATCAGCAGATTCACTCCGCAGGCCCTGTGCTGTGCAGGTTTGTCATAGGAAGAACAGGACCTCTGTCAGTGGCTAAAAGCAATGAGTGTTTTACAAGTTGTGTAAGTACCATTGTAATCCAGCTTGCTCTCCTTCCCTCTCCAGCCTCCGCACTTCACTAGCTTCAGAACCATGTTTTACTTGGCAGCAAAACACAAATGTGATTAGTGAGAGTCCTGCTACGTCACAAAATTATACAGCCTCCATCTTGTAGAGGGTCAGTTTAGCCTAAAGATGAGATTTATGTCTGCTGAACTTGGAGTAAATATATTTCAAAATTATACCTGTCTTAAATTATTTCTAATATTAAAAAACTCAAGTTCATCAGAATTTGTTGAATCTGGAGCTGACTACAATTTGGCTTGAGTGCTATGAAGTGAGTATCTTTCTCTTGAAACCCTGTTTTTTAAATAAATGAAAGGTTTTAAGTTGCATCAAGAATCGAAAACTCTATCATTTCGTGGTTGCTATGCCCAAGACGACCTCTGACCACCACATCTCCCACCAGCCCTCCTCTGTTTGTAAACAGCAGGTCTAGCGGGGCACCATCCCTGGTAGGCTCACTTACCATCTGTGTCAGTGTAGTAGGATGCTCTGCCTTGATAGGGCTTATCTGCCTAGGCTTGGAATTTGGTCAGAGAATTCAAACAAAGCAAGCTATCAGTGGTTAGTTATGGTTGGCTGTTGCCATGGTGTTGCTTTTAGTGTTCAATTATGCTAAAACCAGCCTGATTCCCCAAACTTCAAACACATATCCTGCTTTTTGAAGCAGGATTTGACAGATAAGCTGCTAGCTGGCCTGGAGATATGTGAATGACAGTCAATCACTTTATAACTATAAAAGCCCAGTCCAACTTTCTTCCACATACTTTCTTGAAGTGTATGGAGCTTCTCTGTGAAGCAGGGATGCCTCTTCATGGTTACTCCCCAGGGGTTAAGTGAAATCTGCCTACTATTGTTGTGTGGTGAGTTACATCAATCTCTATTTAACGATTGTTTATTTTGCTAGCTTTGATACAATTGCCTTATTATAATTGCTTTAATATAATTGTTTTGACATAGTGCACTATACTATCCTATCTTATACTATACTATTAGTAGTTTTTAGCTTTTATACTGTGTAGTAAATAATTCTGATTAAGATCTTTCATCTGTTCATTTGCCTTTTCATTTTTCATAATAAATAATTCATTTTATATAAATATATCTTATTTGCCATCATTAAGACCTGCAGGACAAAAGTGGTATAATCACACCTCTATATTTCCTTAAATTTAAACCGTTGACAAAATCTGAGGCTAAGATTGGGTCCAGCCACACCCAGGCTCCTCTCTGAGAAGGAGTTTAGAAAGCAAAGGGGTCCTTTCTGCACCTCATAGCTCAACGAGAGGGCTTCTCTAATAAACTTTGTCTAAGCCTTCCACTCTTCCCCACAACAGTCAGGAAGTTCTCTTCCACACACTCCAGGAACCTCCTAGACTGCCTCCTCTCTGCTGTGTTGAGAATTGATGCCGAAAAACCTCGGAATGATTAACTGTTCAGAGACTTTGCATCTTTAAGCAGCAAGGTAATTGTTTATTCAATGTTGGGAGCAAGTCAGCTCGCGCTGGACAAACTTGCTCGACTTGAAAGTGCAAAAGTAAGCCATTTTATACCCTTTAGATACATGGTTACATAATTTAACATACATATTAATAAGTAGGCTAGTCTCTGGGCGGAGTCTTTCCAGGCATGCGCAGTCTTCTACTGTGGGGGTCTTCTCCTCAAGTCTTCATCCCTCTGGTGGTCACCACGCACGTCTTCCTCAATTTGACCTCTTCTTAGGTGACCTGAATTCTTCAAGCTTGCAAAATCCTGGCTTCGGGCCTTCTATATCTTGTTCAAACATCTAGTTTACCTAATTTATTACCGTGTGTATACTACTCCTATTCTTTCCATAATAAGGCCTTTGGTCCAGTGAGCAGAACAGAACATGATATTAACCAGTGCTCCTAAAATGTTCTTCTAGCAAAACAGGTAGAGCAAACAGGACAAGGTATATCAGCTGAATCATTGTTAACTCTTTTTAGTGCCTTTTTGCCATCAGTTTCCAGCAGGCATCCAGCAAGTTAGTCTCCCACAAGAACAAGGGCTAGCAATCGTGAAACATCAGAGAGCCGCTTATAGAATACTTCATCTGCCTCTTCATCTTGGTTGGGTGGTCTATAACAGTCTCCCACCAGGATGTCAGCCTTGTTGGCCTTCCCCCTGATTCTTACCCATAGGCACTCAACCTTATTGTCACTGTCCTTGAGCTCTATATAGCCAAAACACTCCCTTATGTACAGAACCATTTTACCGCCTCTCCTTCCTCGCCTTTCCCTTCTGAAGAGCTTGTAGCCATCCATTGCAGCACTCCAGTTATGCGAGTCATCCCAGTGATAGCAACTACGTCATAGCTTTCCTGCTGCACAGACCTCCAGCTCCGCCTGTTTGTTGCCCATACTGTGTGCATTGGTGTAGATGCACTTCAGCTGGGCTATTGATTTCACCCCCGACACAAGCATGCCACCTCTAGGCTCATCTCTAGCGAGCCTGGTCTTATCCCCTTCCCTCTTCAAACCTAGTTTAAAGCCCTTTCAATCAACCCTGCCAACTCACGGGCTAGAATCCTTTCCTCCTGTTAGACAGGTGAACCCCATCTGTCTCCAGCAGGCCTGATGCTGTATAAACTGCCCCATGATTGCAAAAGCTAAAATTCCACCAATGGCACCAGCCTTTAAGCCACATGTTGATCATGTGGGTACTCCTGTTCCTTTCAGCATTCTTCCCTGCTACTGAAGGAATTGAGGAAAACACCACCTGTGCTCCTGTCCCTTCAACCAATTGCCCCAGTGCCCTGAAATCCTCCTTTTTGATTGCCCTACGACTTCTCTCATCAACCTCATCGCTGCCGACCTGGACAACCAGTAGTGGGTAATAATCAGAGGGCCAAATCAGTCCAGTTAGTCTCCTGGTAATCTCTCTTACCCGGGCCCCAGGGAAGCAGCAGACTTCCCTGTAGGATGGGTCAAGTCAGCATACAGGGCCCTCAGATCCCCTCAGAAGGGAATCACCCTTCTTTCTTTTTTAACACCTGAATTTGTGATCCATCTGGTTGACTGACTTGTTCTGGGTAACCCCCCAGATAGACCTTCTTCTCCACTATCATTTGCCTGACATATCATTTGCCCTACATAAAAAAGCATTTAGGCAGTTTTAGCTACTTACAACCAAGGAGCAAATACAGCAGACTAAACAGCAGACCAAACAGCACACAACACAAATCTGATGCATGTGCACTTACAGATCATATTCACAAAACTGTCTCGGACAATTATGGTTTATCAACCAAAGGGAAAAAATGAAAATTACATCAAGAATACTTATTTGTCAGAAGAACCAGAAAACAAGTATTGCTTTATAACTGATGCAGAGACAAGTCATCCAGCTCTCAACAGGCACATGCAAGCAGCTTAACACAAGCAATGAAAGCATGCATCATGCAAAGCCCCACCATTCTACTACCACAGAGAGCAGGTCACTGCTGCATTTATCTTGCAAAGCAGATTTATTTTTTTTTCACTGCAGAAATACTCAATTACATTGAGAAGAGGAATGTTGACACAAGCTAGCTGAATATGAGTCAACAGTGTGCCCTGGCAGCCAGGAGGGTCAATCATGTCCTGGGGTGCATCAAGCGCATCATGGCAAGACAGTCAAGGGAGGTGATTGTCCCACTCTACTCTGCACTGGCGTGGCCTCACCTTGAGTCCTGTGTGCAGTTTTGGGCACCATAATATAAGAAAGATAAAAAGCTATTAGAAACCATCCAAAGGAGGGTCGCAAAGGTGTTGAAGGGTCTAGAGGGGAAACCATGCAAGGAGCGGCTGAGGTCACTTGGTTTGTTAAGCCTAGAGAAGAAGAGACTGATGGGAGACCTCATAGTGGTCTACAGATTCCTTACAAAGGGAAGCGGAGGGGCAAGCACTGATCTCTTCTCTCTGGTGACCAGGGATAGGACCGGTGGGAATGACATGAAGCTGTGTCAGGTGAGGTTTAGGTTGGATAACAGGAAAAGGTTCTTAACCTTGAGGATGGTTGAGCACTGGAACGGGCTCCCCAGGGAAGTGGTCACAGCTCCAAGCCTGCCAGAGTTCAAGAAGTGTTTGGACAATGCTCTCAGGCACATGGTGTGATTCTTGGGGTTGTCCTTGTGAGGAACTGGACTTTTTTAATTGCCTTAAAACATTGCTACTGTAGTGAGCTGTGCAAGCCTCCTGGCAGGGGACTGAAGATAAGGTTGAGGGGAGAAGGCCGTAGGGGCCAAGTTTTGGGGGTGTGATGTTTATCTAAAGGAGACCAGTGGCACTCTCTGGGCCTGTGATGTTTATCTCCTATGGGCCAGGCCATGTGTGGCAGTTTGGCCTGGCTCTCTTGCAGAGTCCAAGCTGCCTTCTCCCCCCTCCCGCTCTCTCAAGTAAGGGGAAAAAACCGAACCACATAAAAACCGAAATAAGTCCGAACAAAACGGAATTATATCAAAAATATAAATTTACATATATTTACAATTATATATACAATTTGAATATATTGTACACAAGATAGGGAGCTCCCAAGGGGGAAAAAAAGGGAAAAGGGAGAGGGAAACAGAGATAAAAAAACTAAAAACAAATATCCTCCAAATACACCCGTTAATAGAGAGCTAGCAAATAAATACAAAAAACGAATTAAATACTTCCCTGAACGAGACAGCAGAACCGTGTGAAGCACCAACTAACTCCCCCATGCCTCCCAGAGGGACTGGAGATAACGGCAGGTCCAAGCAGGCAGGCCCTGGCCTATACAAGCAAAGACCGTCTGGGGAGAGACCTATCACCCTCAGCCACTGGAAGAGAGAAGAGAGCGAGCTCTCTTATCTGCGCCTTATTTATATGTTGTGTTACATTAAAGGATGATATGGAATACTTCCTTAGATTTCTGACCCCTGTTGCTAAGGAAGGCCTAAAAAATCCAAAAACCAACCCACTACACTGTGTCAAAGGGACCCTTTATGCACACACCCATCACTAATGCCTCGCTTTTAGCAGGCATTAGATTAGCACCCCCCCAAGCCATTAAATAAATGAAATGTTTTTAAGTTACATTCTGAAGGTTGGAAATTGTATTTTTAAACCTTTGGAAGCAGGAAATCATTATAAAAACATCTTTTAATTTTGAAGCAGACTGCTAAAATAGTACACTTAGTAAATGTAATTGTAGAATTTTGTATTTAGTTTTCTTTCTGTTACCACGACAGTCAGATGACTGGAATAAAATTAATACAAAAGCATGCAGCGTTTTCTAAAGGTAATTGTAGTTACAGCTTTGCTTTCAACCTTTTATTCTTAGCTTTTAAGATCTTGCGCTTGACTTTTTATTTTTCTGGTGCAGTATAATTTTCATTATGAGCCTCTTGAATGTTTTTTTAAAAATAGACTTTTAAAAGAAAAAAAAAGGATAAACAGGGAAAGGATTTAATATCTAGTATTTGGTCCATTGTTTCATTTGCAACAAAATTCTTGTGATGATCCTTTCATTTTTGTCTTGACTACAGCAACATTTTTTTTATTCTTGTTTCCTTTGGTTTTAATAATTGGTGTTAATGTGCAAATATTCTTCTGAATGTTAAATTTTACTTTAAGATTAACATGTTTAGGTAGTTTACTTTGTTCACCTTTCACAATTGTTACTTAAATGTCTCATTAAGTTTTAGTTTCAATACACCAGTAATTTTTCTAGTGTGCAATCAAACAATTCCCCAGTTGCTGTCTTATTTAATGTTGTTGCCAAGAGAAGCTGGCAGATTTTGAGTTATCTTTTGATACATGCGGATTATCACTAATTTGCAGATTAAAGTACAGAAAGTGTGGGGATGGGGGGAGATTGGTTTTTGGTTTGGATTTTGTTTTTATTGTTTGTTTTTCTTTCTAAGTGTTCTGGTAAAACTTGTATGCTTTTGGTGACTTACACTCAAGTCTCCAGTTACTCTCAAAATAGGTAAACATGCAAAATTTTGAGAAACATAAGTGTTAGCAATTATTGCCTGTTCGTGATGGTTTCAGGAAGGGAAAATCCTACATTCACAGATAAAGGCAATACTGTCTTCATGTAAGTGCTACTTTTTTCCTAAGAATTTTCCTGTGGAAAACTATATTACTTTGTTTTGCATCCAAAATGTTGCTTTATTTTTTAAACCTTCCAGAGTGAAGGTTACCACCCAATTCACAGTTGGTAAAATCAGCTTTCAATGTTGTTAAGGGTATGCCATTAAATCGTTAAAGTTCAAATTGGATTGCTGAATGATTATACTCATATTTGCAAGTAGTGTGTGGTGTCCAGTTGCTGAAAGGGAACAGAGAAATGTTTTATGTGCTAAAGTTGAATTCTGCAAGAATTTGAGAAGTTTTTATAGCTTTTTCTATGGAAATATCTGGCAATATGTAGAATTTGAAGAGGAAATACTAGACTCAATCTGATTCCAGCATAACTACTTCTTTATTCCAAGTACGCAATGACGTAGATGTCATTAGTAGCTCTAGTACAGTCACACAACTTTTATGGGGAAATGATGTTGATTTGTTAGTCTCTGCATGGAGTTAGCAAAATTATTCACGTGGTTTCTATGCCAGGTAATTATAGATACAAGCTTGCATGCTTGCAAGTATCTCACCCCATTCAACAAGTTAGCTTTCTACCAGTCTTACTTTTCACTCTTTATCACTGCCCAAGCGTCTGTGTCAAATAGTTTACATAAAACGTCCTATGCCAAGTCTAACCCTCATAAAATCATAGGCTATCCTGAGCTGGAAGGGACCCACAAGGATCATCGAAGTCCAACTCCTGGTCCTGCACAGGACAACCCCAAAAATCACACCATGTGTCTGAGAGCATTGTTCAAACACTTCTTGAACTCTGGTTTGGTGTTGTGATCACTTCCCTGGGGAGCCTGTTCCAGTGCCCAGCTACCCTCTGGGTGAAGAACCTTTTCCTAATATTAAGCCTAAACCTCCTCTGACTCAGTTTCATGCCGTTCCCTCGGGTCTTATCACTGATCACCAGAGAGAAGAGATTGGCCTCTGCTCCTCTGCTTCCCCTCGTGAGGAAGTTGTAGACTCTATGAGGTCTCTTCTCCAGGCTGAACAAACCAAGTGACCTCAGCCGCTCCTTGCATGGTTTCCCCTATAGACTCTTCACCATCTTCATGGCCCTCCTTTGGATGCTCTCTAATAGCTTTATATTCTTCTTATATCGTGGTGCCCAAAACTGCACACAGGACTCGAGGTGAGGTCCCACCAGTGCAGAGTAGAGTAGGACAATCACCTCCTGCGGCGACAGTCCCTCACTCAGCACCCTTTTCGGCGAATGAATCCATGGGAGACAGACTTTGCCCAGGCAGAACTGTCTTGTAACTTTATTACTCCATTTATCTACAGAATAAGGGTCCAAGCTATCAAGCCAGGCCAGATTTTACTTATCTGCACACATTCCACACAGACACTCCCGTGGCTGCCTTCAGCCACAAAGAACAACCATGCTTCAAGCAGCTTTCCAGCTTGACCTTGCGATTCTTTTCCCACACACACTAATCTTAGCTCTGGCTCGCTCAGGACCACAATATTTTTACTTTAATATTTTCTTCTTCTTCTTCTATCATCCAGATGGCTGGTGTTGTCTTGTTTAGCTGCTCCTACAACCTCCCTTGACCAGCTCACAATGCTGAGCTTGATCACCCCAGGACCCAGTTGACTCTTTTGGCTGCCAGGGCACACTGCTGACGCATATTCAACTTGCCATGAACACAAACCCACAGATCTCTTTCCATGGGGCTCCTTTCCAGCCTCCTGTTCCCCAGTCTGTAACATACATCCAGGGTTGCCCCGTCCCAGGTGCAGAATCTGTCACTTGCCCTTGTTAAACTTCATACAGTTGGTGATTACCCAGTCCTCTAATTTATTGAAGTCTCTCTGCAGGGCCTCTCTGCCTTCAAGGGAGTCAACAGAGTCAGCCAAGTAAGTGTTGTCAGCAAACTTAGTATCCCTTTGAGTCCTGCATTCAAGTAATTTATGAAGATGTTGAACAGAACTGGCCCTAAAATGGAGCCCTTTTGCACCCCACTAGTGACTGGTCACCAGCCTAATATAACCCCATTTAGTATAACCCAGCCTGTCAGCCGGTTGTTCACCCACCACATGATGTGTTTATCTAGCTGTGTGCTGGACATTTTGTCTAGAAGGATCCTGCGAGAGACAGTATCGAAAGCTTTACTGAAATCCCAAAAGATTACATCAACTGGCTTACCTTGATCAACTAAATAGGTGATCTTGTCATAAAAGGAAATTAAGTTTGTCAAGCAGGACTTTCCCCTCGTGAACCTGTGCTGGCTGTGACCAATGACTGCGTTGTCCTTCAGGTGTTTTTTGATAACTCCCAGAATATTGTCCATGATTTTATCAGGCACTGAAGTGGGACTGACCCTCAACAAACCATGAATAGCTATGATTAAACTAGATACCTGATTTTTCTTGCTGATCTAGTTTCTTCCATGTGACTTAAAGAAGTTATGCTCAAGGTAGCTAGTTCCCCAAGCTTTGTATTATATATGCATCTATATGGACACATATAATGCATGCATTCAAATAAAATCAGAAAATCAGCATCTTTGCAATTGTTACTGTGAAATAAAACCTATACTGGTCATTCCATTTATTGGCATGCTGACTCTTATCAGCCAATTCATTCTTGATGCATCAAATGATAATGTAATTTTACAGGAGATAGAGAAAAGGAGAAGAATTGAAGAAGCATACAAAACTGCTGTGACAGAACTGAAGAAAAAGTCCCACTTTGGAGGGCCAGACTATGAGGTACAAATTCTGCTTTTGAAATTTTTTAAAATGCTAAGGCTTTTAAAGATTGGTTTGTTTCTCAAAGGAGTGTGTGTGTAAAACATTGCTACTGTAGTGAGCTGTGCAAGCCTCCTGCCAGGGGACTGAAGATAAGGTTGAGGGGAGAAGGCCATAGGGGCCAAGTTTTGGGGGTGTGATGTTTATCTAAAGGAGACCAGTGGCACTCTCTGGGCCTGTGATGTTTATCTCCTATGGGTCAGGCCATGTCAAAGGGACCCTTTATGCACACACCCATCACTAATGCCTGGCTTTTAGCAGGGGCGCCTCCAAAGCGGCCCACTCCCCCAAGGCTAAATGACTTTGCAAGAACCAGCGCTTCCAGTGTCTGCAGAAACAGCCCACACACACACACTGAGAGGCACCAGGTAGGGTATATAAACCCATCAAACTGTATGTTTCATGGGCTTCTCTCCCCCACCACTACCTTACAGACCAAGACACCAACGACGACAACAACCAAGTTTGCCCAAGACCTTTGAGTGGTGACTATAACTTTTCTTCTTTTCTCTTTTCTTTCTCTCCTTTCCCTTACACATTTTCTTGGGTGCTCTTTCTCTCTCTCTCTCTTTTTTTTTTTTTCTCTCTTTTACCTTATACATTTTCTTGGGTGGCTATATTACAACCAGAATGGCTAAATACTTGTTTTCCTTTGCAATACCTTTATGCCTTTGTATTGTCATGTTACTATAGATAATAACAACAAAAATGGCTACATACCTGTTTTCCTTTACAACCAAATTGTTCTAAAATAAATCCTATATATATATCTGTAAACGCTGATCATGTAGTATTGTTTTACTTTAATTCACTCCAAGGGATTTAATAATAAAACAAAAGTTACTTCTGCCTGGTAGGGTGGGTCATAACAGTCCTGTGCAGGGCAAGGAGTTGGACTTTGATGATCCTTGTGGGTCCCTTCCAACTCAGGATATTCTATGATTCTATAATTCTGTTTACATAATTTTTTATTTCCTGATATAAAAAATGGATGAGCGGGTAGAGTCTACATGATAGAAGTCAACAGTGTCTGTTTGAAAACAAAATAATTTGCAGAGGTTGTATCAATTCGTAGCATCAAGCACTAATGCCAAATTACCGTTCTCAGCATATCGATGCAGTTCTTTAAAATTCTATGCATACATCATAGCTTCAAAGCTACATTTGAAACTGGCATTTGTTAGTACATTGAAACATCTTCAGCTTTCTAAGGCGGTACGTGAAATCCATTAATCCTTTCAAAATTATTTTCATTATGATAGACGAGGAAAGGACCACATGATCCAAAGCTTTGTGTAATTTTTTACTTGAGCAGGTGCTGGCATCAGCAACAAGTCAGTACATCAGAAAAATTGCTTTAATAAAATAGCTAAGTATTCAGAGAATCATATTGCAGACCTCCATTATGACTCACACTGATCCACCAGTTAAGGATTTCCTAAAGTGGGTGAATAACATTCTGGACTAAAGCAAAGACTCACTGAAAAGCTCCCCCACTTGAAAAAAAAAAAGTATATCATTCTGCTACATTTTTAAGGCATTATTTTGATTATGTCTCAATATAGTGCTTGTTAAATACTTCCATGTATGTTTGTCCACCAAAACAGGTATTTTCAGTTAGCATTATAAATTATTTATTATTTTACATAACACAAGGAGCAGGCAGCACCTCCAAGACATACAGCTCACCCTAGAAGGGATAAAACAGACATTAGGATACAGTGACTCTAATCACATTCTCTGCAGTATTTATGAAAAATCTTACTAAAACTTTTATGAGATCAAACCACAATATGTTATAAAAAACAATAATGTAGAAAAAAGTAGCAACACAAAGTGAAAGAGGTGGAAGGTATTATGAAAGACTTGGTAGATACTAAGCAGAAAAGCTCTATCGAATACCTGTGTTCCAAGGGCAATTTTTAGACTTGCTGCAGAAGTTTCAATAATGAGGATGAGCCAAGGAAGGGCTAACTAGGGATTGCTGCAGACAAAAAACCCAGACACTACATGTAGGGAATTCCAGGATGCATTTCTGTGGATTTAAGTTAATTTTATCTTTAACATGCATCTGTAGGTTTGATTTTTTCAATTGTTCTACATGCTCTGATGACAGAAATTTAAGGTTTCAAAAGTGAGGCAATTATCAGGAAGGTAGAGACAGAAATATCACAATCCAGGTCACAACAGATGGACAATGATTTCCCTGCCTACAGCCCTCCCAAACACAGTTCAGGAGACTACTTAGAAAGCAAAAAAGCTTCTAATGTGACCTTTCTTTGCAACTGCAAGAACAGGTAAAGAAATGTAAACATATTTTTCCTGCAACAGTAATAAATGTTGCAACTCCACAGTAAATAAACATACTACATGCACAGTATGAGAAATAAAATACGGGTTTTATTATAAAACAAAATTATAGGTGCATTGTGAAGTTGTAAGGTATCTAGTTCCAATCTGGACTGGGTACCAGGGGTTTTTTGTGTCCAGGATAAGGGAAATATAAAGTTCCTAAAAATTAAAATCTTTCTGGGCCATTTGGCAAATTTTGTACATGGGGTTTCTTTTCTCTCTTTGGGCTAAGAACAAAGGAAGATCCATCATTTTTGACAGAGGATGCCTCGCAGTCAATTGGAAGGAAGAGAAAACCCCTTTTTGGAGAAAAGAAACCTTTTTAGGCAAAAATGAATATATTAAACTTATCTGAAAAAGGGTGGGATTTTGTGAAACTATAAGATGTATGAAATTTAAACCCAAGGGGTCTTTTTCTCCCCGGGAGCTCACTGTGAGATGAGACCCAGTACATGCTGAATAAACCTTTCCTTGATGATACAGTTCCTTTGTTTCACAGGTAATTGAATCTTTCTCAATTAAATAACGAGAGATTTCTCACAACAGGAGGAAAAAAATAGGAATTATGAGATGAAAAATAAGCATAAGGCAAGTGAAAAATAAAGACTATAACAATACAGCACTAAGATTATCATAACTGCTATACTCACTGCTTCAATCTAAGTAACATCATCTTTTGTGTGTTTACTTCTCAAATACCATACTCTTTTCCTAAGTCACCTTGCGTTGCCTGCAGACAATAAGTACCTTCAATAGCTGCATGAGCTAGAGTGGTACAATGGTTGATAAGCCCTGGAACCACATACTGCTTTCTAAAGAAAGGGAAAGGGTCAAGAAATAGTACCAATAAGACAAAATATTCCAGAGAGAAGAAAATTCAGATTGACAAAGAGGCAATCAAAGGCAAATGACCGGTCTTTGATAATCTTTATCCACATAGTTCACACCCATGTTTAATTACATGGATGTATATAGTTTTTTCCATGAATTCTCTTAACTGTTAATGTGCACAGGAAAACTATTCACCAAATATTATTTGGTGTCTTTAAATCCTAAGGTTCCATACAAGTTGAATAGAAAGGGTCAAGCACTCCCCTGAGAGGAAGGAGAATGAAGAAGAGCTAGGACACTGAGCAAAAGGGCACTCAAGAGCCCACAGAGAAAATTCTGCTTCTCCAGCTTGGGAACTGCTGTCAAAAAGTGTGATTTACAGAATAAAACTCTTTCCCGAGTAAAGGTGTCAAAAAACCAATCTGACAATAACCACTTTCCTCTATATACTGACTTAATAATAAACCTAAAGCAACTTGTACCACTGGGTCTCCAGGGTATAGCAATACTGGAAGAGGGCTATTTGTCCCTCCTGTGAATCTGGGTTGTCAGGAGCGGGACAAGCAAGATATACACAGGAACCAGAAATCTCCATTCTGCTGTTAGACACTATCAGGAAAAGCACTGATGTTCTGGCCTCAGCTACCAATGCGCTCAAGTTCACCTGCTGCACTTAACCATCTTGTCACTGCCACATACAGAAACAGGGTGGGAGTTTTTTTCTCTTCACTCAATCCTCAGATATTCACCTAGCCACGAGAATAAAAACCTATTAAATGCTCAGTGTATCCCAGAGTATGCAATAGGTAGCAAGCACTGAAGCATAAAGTCATAATTGTCAAAGATCGAAAAGTCCATATTATATCTGACAGGATTTAAGAAAAACTGATCTTACACCCTAAGAAAAATTATTAGAACACATCGTTCAGTTTAAACTGCAATTTTACAATAGCAATTTGGGGAAAAACAAAGCGGGTACAGAAAGAAGTTTTGCTTTCAACAGTGCTTGTTTTGCATCTCACACCTCATCAAATCTAACACATTTTTCTTAGTTTTCAAAACTTATTCCCTATTCTTCCCACTTCCTTCCTGCTGTAGCCCTTGTTTTTATCAGGTCTCAACACCCACTTCCCTCAAAACTCCCCAAATATCAAGGAAGGTTCACTGAACCAATTAGAGAGTTAAACGAAAAAAGTTATATGAAATAAGGGACTCGCAAGGACATAGAATCCTTAAGGTTAGAAAAGACCTCTAAGACCATCGTGTCCAAACATTAACTTAACACTACCATCTTCATCACTAAACCACGTCCCCAAGTGCCACATCTACACATTTTTTTGAACACTTCCAGGGATGTTAATTCTACCACTTCCCTGGGCAGCCTGTTCCAATGCCTGACCATCCTTTCAGTGAAGAAATTTTTCCTAATATCCAATCTAAACATCCTCTGGTGCAACTTGAGGTCCTTCTCTCTTGTCCTGTCACTTGTTATCTGGGAGAAGAGACCGACCCTCCCCCTTGCAACAGCCTCCTTTCATGTAGTTGCAGACTGATAAGGTCTCCCCTCAGCCTCCTTATCTCCAGACTAAACAACTCCAGTTCCCTCAGATGCTTATCATAAGACTTGTTCTCTCATAAGACTTGTTCTCTTGTCCTTTCACCAGCTTCATTGCTCTTCTCTGGACTTGCTCTAACACCTCAGTGTCCTTCTTGTAGTGAGGGGCCCAAACCTGAACACAGTATTTGAGGTGCAGCCTCACCAGTGCCAAGTACAGAGGGACAATCACTTCCCTAGTCCTGCTGGTCACACTATTTCTGATACAAGCCAGGATGCCATTGGCCTTCTTGGACACCTGGGCACACTGCTGGCTCACATTCAGCTGACTGTTGATGCCTTAAGATTCTTTTGGGTTTTTGATTTTTCTAATTTTTATAAACTTTATAAGTAGTTATATAGTAGAAGTAGATTTTAGAAGTATCTTTGTTATATCCCTCACCCTTTAGCACAGTAGTTTACACATTCCCCAACCCCTATTACCCCATTCCATGCTCCCCATATCATTTTCCCCTGAATTCCAGTAAAAATGTTTAGTCTCTTGTCAAAGTAGGCCCATTTTGTTTAGAGAACACTTGTATCCTGGCCTGAACCGCAAGAGTACAGTCAAGAACTGGGTGAACATGTGCCCCCTGTACCCTGAAGAAGATGAAGATGATGAAGAGGTGGTCTCGAAAAGACCCTAGCCCCAATTCCCAGGGGGCGGGATGAGGGTGGATCGGGGCAAAAGCCACAGGGTGGAAACATCTGGGATTGGACAGACAGTATTATAAATTATAACATCTGTACAGAGGGACTGATGCGCGTCTTGCAATCTTTATGCCTAGGCACAAATTAAAATCCTTTTCTTATCTCACCTCCAAAACTAATTTGCCTCGGAGTTTTTTCCTCCCTGCATTTTCTTTAGGCAACACTGTCAACCAACACCCCAAGGTCCTTTTCCACTGGGCAGCTTTCCAGCCACTCTTCCCCAAGCCTGTAGCGTTGCATGGGGTTGTTGTGACCTGAGTGCAGGACCCAGCACTTTGCCTTGTTGAACCCCATAAAATTTGCTTAGGCCCATTGATCCAACCTGTCCAGTTCCCTCTGTAGAGCCTTCCTACCCTCAAGCAGATCAACATTCCCACTGAACTTAGTGTTATTTGCAAACTTAGTTAGGGTTCACTAGATCCCCTTGTCCAGATAATCAATCAATATATTTAACAGAACCAGCCCCAGTACTGAACCCCGGGGAACATGCATCTTTTTTGTCATGTTCCTGATATAACTTCAGATTCCTGAAGTTGGTCAGGGTTGAGGTTCCATAAAAACAGCCCTTTCTATTTGTGTCAAAACGATGTTTGTTTAAAAATGAAGTTCAGTCTTGTCAAACACCTGATACACAATGGGTGTACCAACATTTAAAAAAGGTTAAATGAAAACATGAGTTGGTTTACAAAGACTAGTCCTACTTGATTCTATAATTCTCATATTAGTCTGTGGATCAAGAACAAGTCTAACATGATAAAAACAAAATGATAAAGTGTTAAATTATCTTAACACTTAAGTATTTAGACATAACTCCTAGTCCCAGATACAGAAAGGAAAAAGATATGCATATAGTGCACCTCTCACCTCAAAAGGCTCAAAGCACTTTAGAGAGCATTAAGGTTTGCTGCAGCATACACTTAACGTAGTCAATTGAAACTGCCAATTCACTGGTTTTCCCTCAAAGTCTTCTTTCAGGAAATATACAATGTCCAACAATAAGTGCACTTAGCAAATTTAGTAACATTGACAAGCAGTATCATATGTATTGAGTTCCTAAAATAAAAGGATATACATCAATGCAAGTAGTACATAACAGCTGAGCAGCCCCAGTTATACTTGCTTACTCAAACCAGCAATTTTAAGGTAATACAAGTTATTTTGGATAACCAGGGGGAAGAAAGATGAACAACTCTCTCTCTATTCCCCTCCCCCCAAACACCAATATGTTCTAATGTCCATGTTCATACCAATAAATATCTCCGACATTTAAATATTAAACCTTTCTTCCTCCCCTCCCATTTAAAATAGATATGTTTAAGACACCAGAATTTCAATTACTCTGCAGTAAGTCCATTCACCTAGATGACACTAAAGAGTCAACAAATGCATATTTTCAAGTTTTATTTGTTTTCACAGAGAGACAAAAAATATCTTTTTCTTCTTCTACAATAGAAATTATATTAGGAGGATTACCTTCAAAGCTTCCAATAAAGGCAAGTGGACATGGAATTAAACAAGCAAGAAATGTCCCAAGTCTTATTGATCTGTTTTTAAAAGAATTCCCCTTTTCAAAGTCTCTCTCAGCTCTTTGGAGTCATGTTAGCTCCTGCAGTTATTCTTTTTCTGGGAGGGACATGGGGAGGGGTGTGACAAAAGAACAAAAAAGCCATGAATGACTTTGATCATTACCTATGTTGAGTGTTACTGAATATATATCATTGCCACTTTAGCATCCCACCCATGTGGCTGAGCAGCACATACTCCCTATGACAGGGTCTAACTCTGGTCTGTTAATATCAACTCAATGAGTTTCACTCTAATGAAAGTTCACTGAAGAAAACCCACCCCTTACAAAGTCTTTTTTAAGAAAGGAAATAAAAGAGACTGCATTTGGTAGATGAGGCAGAGTGTGCAAGATTTTTCTATTAAACTGTTAATGCATAGTATTGTTTCAGCTGATGAGTAATACTTCTGAGTAAACAGTATGCAGATCTATTTGGCAAATGTCAACTTTTAACTGTTTAACCACTCACTACTTCCACATTGCAGTCTGTACTTTCTGTTCTTGATACAAAGAGCAGCACTTACCCTGAATTTGAAGAGGCATTTACCACTAAAGTCAAGCTTAGCACAGGTGTCTCAACAAACTACTGTTTTCAGGGAGACTGCAAAAACATGCTGCCACTCTGCCACAGAGAGCTTGATTCCTAGAGCTACCATGTATCATTCTGCCAGTTACAAGCACTGATATTCCCCTTATTTCTATGAAATTAAAGCATCAAAATGATCTACCACAGTTGTTTTCACAAGTGAAATAATAACACCTTTGAGTTTACTACTAGAATTCCATTTGTTTATACAAATGAGACTGGTTATTTACTGCATGGTCAGATGCATGTTGAGTCTGGTAATGTAGTTCCAGTACCCTCAAGACCCAGAATTAGGCTTGGCACCAAGTCTACTTCAGCCACAAACATCGTCCTTCATTAAATAGCATTATAAATATATTGATTGACATACTCTTAACAACTTAGCAGTAGTGGAACAAACTTTTCATGTTATATGATATTAGCTTTTTTCAAAGTGGTTTTTGTTGTTTGTGGGGGGGTTTTGTGCTTTTTTTAAAGTTTTGTGGGGTTTTGTTTGTTTGGGGGGTTTTTTGAGCGTGTCCCCACAGTATTGCACCCACAAGGCAATGCCCTGCTTATTTCCATTTTGGCATGTAGTTTTCAGGCATTCTTTAGACATTTCAGAACACCCTGTGTGGGAAATAAATACGACGGTTTTATTACAAGCAGGGGTTTCCATGGCTGCCTCGTGCCGAGACACCTGGGGGCCATTTTGTGGTCAAGGACTAGTGGGTTGTTTGTGGTTCTGCTTAAAGTTACTTATTGTTGCTGCTTACAGTTCTGTCTACCTGCTACTACATACAGTTCTGCTTGGGGTTGCCTATTGCTGCTTATTGTTGCCTACTGCTACTTACAGTTCTGCTTACTTACTGCTACAGTGTGAAGGCGAGTCGGGAAGAATGTAAGGTGGTGAGACCAACCTGGGCCGGGGGCAGGGAAACAACCTGATAGCTGGATGAAGACAACCAATGGACTGCGTCAGAAAGCAAAGATCGCCTTTTAAGGAAGAAAAGAGCGAGGTCTGGCATGGGAGGAGCGAGGGAGCGGTTATGCAAATCGAAGGCTCTTAAAAGGGCTCATCCCTCCCATTCAGGGATGCTCAAACCTGGTCACAAGTTCAGTGCACCCAGCGCACTGTTAATAAAGTTCTTTGTTTCACTTTATTTGGTCGTCTCTGAAATTTTAATTAGAGATATTTCTCACACCCTGGGTCACTAATCTGGTTATATGATGATTGAAAAGTTACTTTAAGCTTTAAATACATTTGAAGCATCAGTCAATTCATATATTTACCTAATTCAAGGGAAAGATAGGAGCAAAGTATCTTAAGTTCACTACCATCTGGGGACAGGGGTTTAAAAGTAGAGTTCAAGACCTCAACTGAGAT